AAGTTTTGAAATTCTCACCTCAAAACCCTGTCCTTGGCTGGGCACAGTGGCTCACACCTGTAATCCCAGCACTTTGGGAGGTCGAGGCAGGTGGATCACCTGAGGTCAGGAGTTCGAGACCAGCCTGGCCAATGTGGTGAAACTCTATCTCTACTAAAAATACAAAAATTATCTGCACACAGTGGCGGGTGCCTGTAATCCCAACTACTCAGGAGGCTGAGGCAGAAGAATCGCTTGAACCCATTAGGCAGAGGTTGCAGTGAGCCAAGATTGCGCCATTGCACTCCAGCCTGGGAGAAAAGAGCGAAACTTCATCTAAAAAAAAAAAAAAAAAAAAAAAAAAAAAACCCTGTCCTTGCTGTATCCACCAATTATAAACCAATATATCATAATCATTACCCAATTCTCATCAAGCCCTCATATTGAAAAACCCATCTTAAACCAGGCATCAAAAACCTCATAAATAGCCCAACTTCACCCTCCATTTCCAAGATGCTATTAAAACTTTGTCAAGGTAGAGAGCTCCCTTACCATGTTAAGCCACAAACTTAGCTTTGCCTTATCAATTAGTTACTTAGGTGGCGTTTTGAAAGCCTTCTTGGATAGATGTCTTCCTTCTTAGTTTGATGATTACAGTGTATGAGAGATAAGCATGTGTGTGTAATTTTATTCTTAATAAGAAAGGCTGAGGCTGGGCACAGTGGCTCACACCTGTAATACCAGTACTTTGAGATGGCAAGGTGGGAGGATCACTTGAGTTCAGGACTTCTAGACTAGCATGGGCAACATAGGGAGACCCTGTCTCCATAAAAAATAAAAAATAAAAAATAAAAAAATAGCCAGGTGTGGTGGCACATGCTTGTAGTCCCAGCTACTTGGCAGGACAAGGTAGGAGGATCATTTGAGTTCGGGAGGTCAAGGCTGTAGTAAGCCAAGATGGCATTACTGCACTCCAGCCTGGGAGGCAGAGGGAGACAGAAAGACTCTGTCAAAAAAAAAAAAAAAAGAAAAAGAAAAAGAAAGATTTGTAGGTTTGTGTATCTACTGCTAACAGGACTGCTGTTTTCTCTATCACTATATTCATGTCTCACCCAATTGAACTTCCCTTTAGCTGTCTTCTTAATGTTGTGTTATCCATGCACCTGCCTTCTGTTCTTCTGGTATGCAATGAAAGATCTCAGGCTTGCCATATATCTAAAAGGCAACCTTGAACCTATGGCCACCAGGCAACAATTCATTAAAGATGATTGTGAGCCTCCAAAGGGCCCTTGTACTAATTCTCAAATTTCTCCTTGGTCACACTGATGACCCCTGTTCCAGGGGTTGTACCAGTTTATAGCCAACTTGGCCAGTCAGTATTTATGCCACAGGAACTATTATACCATTATAGAGATGGTTTTCCAAACAGCTTCTTAGTCCCTGAGGTCAAAGACGCCTGTGTTTCCCACAGATGAAAAACGTCCCAAAGTATTATTTGAATGACTGCCCCCAGACCTAAGGAATCTCAGTGATGCGGTTTCATTGTTGTTTCCTGTTTCTTACATTTAAACTCCCTTTATCCTCATATCCACCAACTCCCAAAGTTGCTGGGTTTACAGATGTACCTTTGCAATCTAATGCAACATTGGGACTCACAAAACAAGACCCCACAATGAAAGCCTCAGAAGCAACCTGAGAAACAAAAGTTTTTCTCTGACCTTCTCCTGCCCTCTATCTCTCAGTCCCATTCCCCACCAGGCTAGCCACAGCAACTAGCATCCCTCTTCCCTGAAGCAGGTCATAGACACCAAAACCCCTTTTCCTCAAAGCCAGCCAAAAACCTAAAACTATTATTCTAACTTTCCCTCTGCCTTTCTGTGTAAAAACTGGTCATCAAGAAGTTATCCAACCTACCTTTCTTTGGCTATGGTCATAAGATCCCCATTCCAGAGAGTGTCCTGCCTCATACCCAGAAGAAGGGAATGCATGCTCAGGGAGGCCAAGAAGATTCTCCACAGAAAGGACTTGCTGAGTTTTCCTCACTCAGTCTATTAGCCTTAGATCATACTCTTTTGTCCAATCACATTTGGACAAAATGTACGGACACAACTGTCCATACTTTGTTGAACCTAAGCAAAAGAATAGATAGTTCCCTCTGTATCTTCAGGTCTTCACTCTGAGGGCCCCCACGTACACATTAATTTGTACGCCTTTTCTCCAATTAATCTGTCTCTTGTCCATGATTTTCAGTGAACATTCACAGAGCAAAGAGGAAGGTTTTCCTTTTGTCCTGATAGCATACAGCAGCAAAGACCAGCAAGACTGGCTTTTAATCTTTTTATGTTCATAGAGACTCTAATGTGAGGATTTTTAATTATAAAATGATCATTGATCACCAAAGCTATCCTGCAATTTTAAAATGAAGAATAGTTTTAGAAATATAGCAATGAAGCATGTAAAACAAAAGGAACAATGTGATGATAAAACAAAAATAAAGGTTGGCATCACTGCTGGGGTAAGAATGGCACAGAATACTGATTATTTAAATGAGACCAAAAAAAGAATTAAAGGTGATATATACCATGAGCATTTTTTCTTATACTTTGTCTTCTGCCTAGTTTTTTTGTTTGTTTGTTTACTTTTTTTAAGTTAGTTTCACTCACATTCTGAAATGGTCTAAGAAGAGGCCACAATGAAAATATAAAAGAAACATGGAGAGAATAACAGATCATAGCTGCACTTTCTACTATGCTTTTCTAACTGTTCATTTATATTTTGCATGATTTCTCCTAAGAAAAATGGAAGACCAAAAAGAATGAGAAGATTTTTAGTAGTCTAACCTACTTGATAGAGAACTACTGTGAGGATAGTAGTGAGAACAAACCTTTTATTGGATACTCCTCATTAAAAAATTTAATGTTTCACACACACACATATATATATACACACACACACACATATATACATACACACACATAAACTTTATACATGTTCTGTTATACTGTGTAATTTATAAAATATATAAGGTATACAAAATAGAAATTTTTAAATGCTGAAATTAAAAATACAGAAATGAAAGCTCTAATTTTTTTTTTAATCCAAAAGATTTTCCTACACTCCCTGGGATGAATTCTAGGCTGGACTACAGATTTTCAAGATTTTCCTTGCATCCTTAAGAAAACTTAGAATAAATAGAAGACTTGGACCCTTGAAGTTTAATTTGCTATTTAAAAATAATTCAGGTTTAATATAGCAAGTTAGCATATACATGTTTGAATGGCTACATTTATGGTATTATGACGAAGTGCTTTCCCTTGTCTAAACAGCAGTTATGGAGAAAGAGTGCATTTGTTTGTAGTATCTGATAAATTGGGCCCAGGATTGAGTTTATTTAATGAAATAAAAACTCAAAATAAGCATTAATCTAGTAGTACAAACATCTAGTATGTACTATTAGATGATCACGATTAGTTATCAATAATCATAAGTAGGCTTTATGCAGGCATAATAATTATCATTTTAACTAGATTACACACCTCTTAAAGACAGCATCTTATAACCCTTTATTTTCCCAGTGTAAGCATAGCAAGGTGCTCACAAAAAATGTTTACATTATTCCCCTTCATTGTATTTGCTCAGGCACTTGGGCGACTAGCTCAAACCTGTTTCGCAACAAGTTTGATGAACCTGCTACCTGACATTTCCGTCCCTGACATGAAAACTTCCTAACATTCTTGTCCCTGATATGAAAATGTCTCTCTTAATTCACAGTCAACTTAGCTACCACAGATTGGAACGTGAGGGGCTGAAATAGGCAAGGAGACAGCGTGAGGAGGAGGTTGCCTTAGAAATAAAGGATCAGCCTCATTATGTCTATTCGCCAGAAGGAAAAAAAAAAAATCCCCAGAAAGTCTTTCATCAAGGGAGGATCTAAACTCTAACAGAGAACTGTTATCTATCCGCACATGAATTTTGGGGGAAGGAGGAGAAACAGGGAGGTAATCGGTATAATTCATCCCGAGGCTCTTTCCAATTCCAAGACTGATTCAAAATTGGAGAGAATGGTGGAACCGATACACCAACATTCTGAACCCCTTCCACCCTCTCCACCAAGGAAGGAAGGAAGGAAGGAAGGAAGGAAGGAAGGAAGGAAGGAAGGAAGGAAGGAAGGAAGGAAGGAAGGAAGGAAGGAAGGAAGGAAGGAAGGGAGGGAGGGAGGGAGGGAGGGAGGGAGGGAGGGAGGGAGGGAATGAGGGAGGGGAGAAGAGGGGAGAGGGGAAGGGAGGGAGGGAAAAGATAGAAAAAGATAAACCCTAGCCCTTTATGTCACTCTCCATTTCTGAGATGACCTAGTTCTGCCAAAAGAAGAACCTAGCAGCAGAGTGTGCCAGGACGAGGTACTATTCTCCACCTGAGACCCCACAGTAGCTAGAACAAAGCATTTCCTCTTCACACCGCAACCCAACCCAGCTGGCCTGAAATCATTTTATAAATTCTGGGGGACGTCGAATCTCTGTCCTTGGCCTTGAGTAAACCCAGGAAAGAAGATGGGCCAAGAAATAGATTGGAAAAGTGGATCAGGCCCCGCGGCAGCAATTTAGATGGAGGGTAACGCAGGGGAGGGCAGGCGTGGAGTCTTGAGTTTATTCTCCATGACTGGGACACAGCTGGCTTTGAATAAGAACATTAAGTATACAGCACCATATTTTGGTCTTGAGCCCAGCCTCTGGCCCGTGGCACCCGGCCATTCTTCTCTGCCAGCCAGGCCCTGGCCCTGATTGCCGCGATGCAGGGAATGCCCATCAACTTGCAGTCACACCTGTTAGGTATTTCTCCACTCAGTGCCTCCGCCCAGCAAGCGCCCCACGCACGGCCGGAGCCCCTGTGTTGAGCGGGCGCACGAGGAGGAAGAAGGGCCAGGCCTTACCAAGCAGACCCTGTGGGACTCGGTGCGGCGGGCGGGCGGGCAGGCAGGCGCATGGGGGCGGCCTGCGAAGGCGAGAGAGGTCGAGGCAGGCATTGGCAGGGCGGGGGCAGGGCCGCCGCTGCTCGCGTTACGTTCCCAGAGCCTGCGGCGGAGGCGCGGGGCTGAGCAGCGGAGGGGATGGGGCTTGCACAAGCTTCTGCATTTTCCCTCACAGCCCCGGCGCCGCCTCCCCTGACTGGGCCGCGGTGCCCGTTAGGCCGCTCAGGGTGAGAGCTAGAGCGGGCTCGGGCGGGTGGCACCTCGCCCGGGACTAGAAGGGAGGGTGCAGCGGGGCCACGGCGGGGGGATTCCGCTAGTCGGGCGGCCCGCGCGTCACCTGAGTGCACCAGCCCCCGCTGCAGCGGGACGGCGGCCGGGACGGAGCTCCCTGCGCGCCCCCCGGGGACCGGCAGCGGCCAGGAGGCTGCGCGGGGCTCGGCCGCTCGGCCCTGCAGCTCCGCGCACCCGGCAGCGGCGGCGGTGCAGCCTCGGGCGTTCGGGCAGCCTCCGAGCCCATGGCGGGGAGCGACGTGGACAGCGAGGGCCCCGCACTGAGGGGCGGCGCGGCGCGGCGTCCGGGGGCCCCGGGCGGGCCAGGAAGCGAAGCGGCAGCCGGCTGCCCCGAGCTGCTGTCCACTGCTGAAGCGCCGGCTGAGAGCGCCACGCTGCCCGCCTGGATGCGCCTCTACTTCTACGGGATGCACGGGATCACCCTGGACGTGCTGGTGTCCTCGGCCCGGCGCTTCGCCCGCAGCCCGGACCTGCGGATGCTAGGCTTCTCCTCGCCCTACAGCTGCCTGCTGCACTCGCTCACCCATTTCGCCCTGGAGAAGGTCTACCTGCAGCAGCGGCGCTGTCCCAGCGCCTTCGTCTTCAATTTCCTCCTCTACCCCTCGGCCCACGTGGGTCTGCAGACCCTAGCGGGCCAGGCGCTACTACTCAGCCTGGGCGGCGGGGCCGGGGGCGCGGTGGCGCCAGGGGCGCTGGACCTGGCGCTGCAGTACGTACTGGCGCTTTACCACTGCCAAGTGTTCCTGAAGCGCTTCCTGCGCTTGCGGTACGGGCGACAGAGGCGGCGGCGGCAGCAGCAACAGCAACAGCAGCAGCAGCAGCAGCAGCGGAGGGGCGCGCTCCCCGTCGCTCCGGACGCCCGGGTCCCTACTGCGACCGGAGTCCGGCGGCGACGACCCCGTGGCCCCAGGGGCGCCGGGGGAGCCCCTAGCCAGGGGCTGCCCGACCTACCCCGCTTTCTTTTCTTCGGAATGCACGGCTTTCTGGATGAGATCTTCTTCACCTTCTTCTTCAACGTACTGGGGCAGGGGGACGGAACAACCAGCGGCCACACGTCGCTCTGGTCCTTCTTTATGTATGGCAGCTGCAGTTTCGTGGTGGAAAAACTCTACTTCCATCTCCACTACAGCCGCGGTTGGGGCACTTGGAAGCGGGTGCCCATCTACGTGATCTTCATCTACGTGTGGGAGCTTTCCTGGGGTCTGGGACTCCGCACATGCGGGGCTTGTTCCTGGGACTATTCTCACTACCCGCTCAATTTCATGGGCCTCATCACCCTGATGTATTTACCTGGCTGGATATTCCTTAGTGTGTACCAGGACCTAATTTCCAACGTGTTGTGGAGGGTGCAGTACGTACCAAGTAACTAAAACCAAAAAAGAAAGAAAGAAAAGGAAAAAGTCATTGGATTCCCACGAATGGATGCGATTTATTTTTACACGTTTAAAATGAAGTGGGTTTTTTAGTCCTTTAATTTTTATACACTTTATTAAATCTTCCAAAATGTTTTATTCCACCTTTTAGTTTTTCTATTTGAAACCCGTGTATAATATACTTTGAAACATTACTCGAAACATAATTCAAAGTACTTAATTCGCCAATGTTTTAAAACGTTTACAAGCCCAAACAGCAAAACCGTTATACCTTAACATCAGAATGGTGTAGTAGTGTTTACCCATCTGGCCATAGATGAGTGATAACTACTAATTTTTTTTTGCGGGGGGGGAGGATCTTTAAATCAGAGACCAGTGATTTTTACAAGATTTGGCTAAATTTTCTGATTCAATGATTTGTTTACTTTCTTTTTAATCTAATTTCATTTTAAATCCTTGCCATATTTACCAATGACTGAAGAAACTCAATGTCTTGTACTCTTGAAACTACAGTTAATAGCTCTTAAAGTGCCTCCGTCTAGCACACAAGGTGAAAAGAGGCTGAAAAATGCGAAAGCACGTTCTATGAACAAATTTTTAAATGAGATCTTTTCTAGTAACTCAGACAGGTGACACTGTGTTAAGATATTTGATCTCCATCCTGGAAATGATTGCTTTCCAATGTGGGTAAGCCTTAAACACCAGGTGTGTTAACGTTGATCAGATCCTGTGTTATCTATGGCTGTACATTTTTGTTACTGTGCAATAATGTAAAATGTTTACCTTACATAGCCAAGGGCCAAGTGAAACTATATCACCTTCCACAGTGTTCTAACTCCAAGGACCCTTTTCTACATGGAACTTCAAGGGCAGAACATTACCTTTGAATAAAATGAACCTGAATGTTCACTTTAATTACATTAAGCCTAATTGTTTCCTGTGAATACAGATATGTTTTCAGCATATTTCTGCCGTGGCTCTTTTTCCTTCTGGGCCCAGAGTCCTTGGGCCAGGCTTGATGTGGTAATGTGCATTATAAATCAGTTGTAGCTTTGTGGTGACTTACTATTAACGTCTGCAAGCTCTGAAGTTAAATGAGATGATGTAAACCATTTTAAGAAATCATGCCTAATGAATAATGTATTTTGATGTTGTTTGCTGTTTTATTACATTTATAAAAGAGTAGAATTCAATGCAGCTCAGCCAGGGATGATGAATATCCTCTCAGTTTTTATTACAAAGACAATCAGGAAAATTTCATGTATAGAAATAAGTGGCTTTCTATTCAAATTATCAGCTAGCCTATGCTGTAAAAAGGGACTTTTTTCTGTTTTTAAAAAATGTTTGCTACAAGAGTAGAAAATAATATGTATTTAAATTTTATTAAGTTAGAATAGTTATGAGTGTTATATATTTTAAACCACTATCTGAGGTTGTAAGCTAAATTAGGAGTAATGCTATATAATCAACCTCACCTGTGAAATGGACCATGCAAAACATTATTTTAGCCAAAATACTTTACTCAAAGCTAAATAGAAACTGAAATATAAGCTAACTGTTTGCAGAGAGTTTCACTTAAGAAAAGTTCTCTGTGACACTTGGTCACAGATCAAAGATTTATGAAAACCCTGTATAGAAAAAAGTATAAGCATAGTCACTCAAGTTAGGGAGATGCTGAACAGAATATTTGTAATTCAAATGTGACACATGAATCTGAATTAAGTGTGACATCACACCAGCGAATACTTCACCAAATCCGAGATTTCTGAAATACTTGCTAAATGTACACATTTGCACTGTGCCCTTCACATGCTGCTCTCCAGCCCTTCTTACTCACCTAACAGCATTCTTAGGGTCAGAAATCCATCAAGGAAGTTGGAAAGCGTGCTGTTTTGTGTTGCTTTTTAATGTTAATCCTATTTAAAGGAAAAGTCAAGGTTTTCATTCATTCAGTTCACTCAAGAGATAGTTACGGAGCCTCCACTATTTGCTAGGCACTTGCCTTAACTCTGTGGATATAGCTGTGAACCAACACAGACAAAATCTCTGTCCTTGGGATGCTTACGTACTAGTGCTTTGATTTATGTAAGATTATACTTATTTGCAATAGGCTACGAGAGGCAATTTTTATGAAGATTGTCATCAGGCTTGTTCTGTGGATATAGCTGTGAACCAACACAGACAAAATCTCTGTCCTTGGGATGCTTACGTACTAGTGCTTTGATTTATATAAGATTATACTTATTTGCAATAGGCTATGAGAGGCAATTTTTATGAAGGCTGTCATCAGGCCTGTTCTTGGAAAATCAATCCCTCTATCTAAAACAAAAACCTGTTAGCAGTCTCTCTGCTAGTTCTACAAAGAGCGAGCTAGTTCTTGTATATTCAGGAAGTGATTAGCCTGTCTATTAACTCAGCACCTTGTTTTAGGGCTTCTCATTCTGTGTTTACTCAGCTTCTTAAATGTGACATTTTGCTGCAACCTTTGATCCTTTAAGGAAAAACCAGGGAAAAGAAGGAACCATCAGATTATTCACTTATGTTACTAATTAAAAATTCAAATACAGAAATGAGACAGCATTATGATGATAGTTAATATCTAATTAGCACTTACCACCTACAAGGAACTCTTCTAAGGGGTGTGTGTGTGTGTGTGTCTGTGTGTGTGTAAAGAAATATATAAATATATATATGTATATATCTTAGGGGAATATATATATTCATATATATCTTAGAGGAATACATATATTCATATATATATCAAGGGAATAGATATATATTTTATTTGTTTATATATAATGCATATCTCAATATATAGACATATGTGTACATATATTCACTTAAACCTCTAACAGCCCTCCTTTTACAAATGAAGACAAGAAAACTCAAACCCAAATAACTTAAGTAACTGCCCAAGTCATACAGCTACTGATCATTTAGATTTGAATCCGCATATACTGGACTCCAGGGTCCATTCTTAACATCAATACTGTCATGCCTTGATCTACTGACCACAATGGATCTTCTATGGAGTTCATTTTACAATCCATATTGCTCTTCCCCTCCACTATTATAGATGCAAGAGTAGCTGCATAAAAGCCAGGCAATAGTAGCAAATAGTGGCAAAAAGTGGCAAAAACACTTTCACGCTGCCTTTTTATTCCATGGTATTAAGTAACAAGGGAGCTAATAACAGGATGCATAGCTGACATCAGCCTAGTTCTTATCCCGAGATGATATATCTTTATATTTCAGTGATGCTCTGAAATACAGTACCTTGCTTGAATTCAGATAATCTTGAGTTTATAAGAATAAGGCCAGGCACGGTGGCTGACATCTGCAATCCCAACACTTTGGGAACCCAAGGCAGGAGAATCACTTGAGATCAAGAGTTAGAGACCAAACTGACAACAGAGCAAGCCCTCGTCTCTACAAAAAATTAGCAAATGAATTAGCCAGATGTGGTGCCGCATGCCTGTAATCCTAGATACTTCAGAGGCTGAGGCAGGAGAATCCCTTAAGCCTAAGAGTACAGGACTGCAGTGAGCTATGATCACACCACTGCATTCTAGCCTGGGCAACAGAGCAAGACCCTTTCTCTAAAATCAAAATAATATGCCAAAATACAAGATACCTCATATCACAAGCTAGGAAAAATATATATAATTACTACTACACATTTAATATAGTACTCAGAATAAATGTCATTGTTAAGAGCTAAGCAGCCAAAAATTAAAACTAAATCTTTAGAGATATTTATTCTGAGTTCTAGTAAATACCTCAGAGTCTAGGAATTTATTAATAGAAATACATAAAACAAATGTAATTTATTTTTTTCTCCATGTTTATCTTATGCAATGCTGAAATGTCTTATTAGAAGCACTTTAAATTTTAAATCAGTTCTATTTGAGCTCTGAATCTAAAAAGGAATGTAACCTTTTGAGTTTTTCTTGTTAACAGTAAATACAGAAGTTCCTGTATCACACAAGGACTCCAATAAGATCGATCATCCATTGCAACATTTCCAACATTTTAATGATTCAGTGTACTTAACTATAAATACTTTATTATAAATATTTAATATTTCATGCTTCAGCTCAGCACAACACAGGTTAGAAAAATATAACCTGTCTTTCATTGTTTAAGAAACGTTGGATAATCCTACCCCTTTGAATAAAAAAAAATTTCTGCTCTTGAAATAGTCTCCATTGGCATGATGGACTTGGTTCTGTTTAAGAAGATGATGAATGAGAATTTGGATAGACTACTTTGGTTTGTTTCCTACTTCCAAAACACATAAAAAAATCAATATACTTGGAAAGGAAGTTACACTCACAATACAGTTAGAGTGATAAATAAGTAATTGTATTGTAGTATCTTAAAGCATTTTAATAAAGTCAATTTTCCTTATATTAAAAGGCATTAAAATCTTTTACCTTTTATGTTAATTTTAAATATACTGTCTTGAACAATACTGAATGGAGCTAAGCTCCTTTACTGAAGGAAAGTAAGAAGAGAGGATATAGTTCCCACACCCCTATGCATCAAACACATGCTCAGCTTATAATGAAGTGAAAGATGGCAGCAAAAGATGATTCTGTTACATTTCCAGGGTATTTTTAGTTATTTTCCTATTCTTAGGCTTGGTACTGGAGGACCTAACAAAGATAGCAATTGTCTGTGTGGACCTCTATTCACTAGAACTAGCCTCATTCTAATTTTTAACATGGAGGCCTCAAGCCAGCCACCAGCAGCTCAAATTGTAAATTAACCTGTGATGTGGATAGAGAAATTTTTTATCGGAGACCTTTTTTCTTTTTAATGTAAAGAAAACATAGAGAATGGTTTCCTTAATTTCTTAATTATCTTTGCAAAAATCGTCAAGCAAATTACCAGACATCTGACAGAGAAACATGGATCCTTAACACGCAGAAATGTTTAATTTTCATCTTACCTCTTAAAAATTCTATAAAATGCAAAAGTCTCGTGAACCAACTTTCCCAACTAAAAAGAAAAATAAATAATATGTCTTTACCATGATTAAGGAAAATCAAATGTTGAAAGAAATTGTGAAAGTTAATAACATCCAGCCTTCCACCCAAGGCAAGAATTTACACCTCTGAAAGATGGTTTCTCAGCTCAGCTTGTGCTACTCAAGAAAGCATTAATTGTGTTTTTCACACAAAGACTAAATGGGAGGAAAGCTGTTGGCAGCTGGTTGATAAACCCCACTTTCAGTGAAGTAAGAAGGCTTCCAAAGTTTTTCGGAGCTAATATATGCTATTCATCCTGATTACTTATTACAATGAAACTTTTCTTAAGGAACGTTTTTCTCTTCATTAAAAAAACAAAATTAGGCCAAGCGCACCGGCTCATGCCTGTAATTCCAACAATTTGGGAAGCTAAGATGGAAGGATCTCTTGAGACCAGAAGTTTGAGTCCAGCCTGAGCAACATAAAGAGACACAATCTGCACAAAAAAATCAAAAATTAGCGAGGCTCGGTGGCATATGCCTGTAGTTCCAGCTACTTAGGAGGCTTAAGTGGGAGGATTCCTTGAGCACAGAAGGTTAAGGCTGCAGTGAGCTATGATGGACTCCAGCCTGGGTGACAGAGCGAGACCCTGTATCAAAAGAAAAAAAAATCAGTGTTTCATTCTTTTGTCATGATACTTATGATCTCTTTATTTTTTTTATTGTACCTTTTCAAATGATGCTTCATTCATGGAGTCTAAGCAGCAAGTCTTTGAGAGCTTTTAGGGTAATCACATTACTTCAGAAAATAAAAAATACATTGATTGCAGGTTTAGAAGACTAAATTCTAGACACTCTGCTTGAGTCGTTGGAGTCTCAACCTGGTTCAAGCCAAGAAAAGCCTTTGGCGAACTGCTCTGGTCAACCTACAGAACATCACCTGGTGAAGTTTCCTGGTAACTTAACCCTGGCAGACCTAAACACCTGTACCTAGAAAGAAATGGAGAGGCCATAGGTATCACAGAGACAAGGAGCTAGCCAAAGAAGGGGGAAAGATTCCATGGATCAACAGTCCATCCAAGAAATTGTTCTTACCATATTAAGGAGAAAATTAGCTCCACTTTTCATGGGATTTCAACAGATGTTTATACTATATTATAATAATATATGG